GGTATCTCAGGAATCTTTCCTGAGACTTGGTCCTTGAACGACTCTACAGCTCGTTTTGCAACTCCTAGCTGATGCATGTGAAGGCACTCTCCCGGTGATGCTAAGTGGTGGATATTGTGGTCATTGGCTCCAAAGTTGAGTTCATGGAATGCATTGTGTATGGAGTGGTGGGATATCCATTTGCTATTTTCCTTGACCTGGGCAGGTGTTCCACCAGGCAAGTTATGGAAGTCCGACGGCTTCCATAATGCTTGTCTGTACTGCACTGATGGATTACAAATGTTCTCGGTATCACACATGCAGTGTCTACATAGTTTACTTACCCCCCTTGCCCTTGCCTGGTATCTTCCACATAGCCGGTCATGCATTTCTGTGTCACCAATAACGTATGCGATACTGAACTTCATTCTTACCTTCCACTCTTTACCAGCATAAGGAAGGAAATCCCAACGAACCCCACTCTCAATCTCACAGATGTTCTTAAATGAACTCATTGCTGCCCTAATTCCCGTGTGTAGGTTTTGTAACTTGTCTGCTGGGTCTGTCTTCTGTATACTGTCAAGCTCCTGTTAAACATCCGGGTGAAAGTAAATTATTCTCCATGCCTGAGCTTTATGTCTGGTTTCTAAATTGAATATTCCCAGTGTCATGTTCAATGGTGTTAGGCTCAAATTGCCCCGGACATCGAGTGAGATTCCATCCATGTAAAGTATGATGGGAACCATGATTTTGTTGGAATTGCTTTGGCACTGCTCCTTCCATGTCTTGCACCACCAGGATCCTTGATGTAGCTCTTGTATCTCCGTGTCATCTGTCAACATTGGATCATGCTCTGGTGACGCTGGGTTCTTCGAGTTTGGTAAGGACAGGTTTTCCTCCTTCATTAGATCTCCACAAGAAAGCAGCAAGAACAATGCATCTTGAAATTCACATATGTATATCTCCCTTGGGTTGTTGTCAGGTAGCCAAGGCACAATCCGTGGCCGGAAAGTATTCATGTGTGGAATCCTTAGATTTTGGCATATCTGATCTAAAATTGCTGCCCTTGATCTCGCCCCCCCCACTCTTTTCAAAGTCGTAACCATGAATTTTCTGACTGCGGACAGCCCAGTCCCAAATTGATGCAAATGCTTTCAACGGCATTTTATGTTGTTTGATCAATTGTAGCAGTTCAATCTCAGCCTTCATTCTTGGTGTTGCTGGGAAGTCCATTGATGTCCTTTTTTGCATTTTGTTTTCTTTCAGTGATTCCGTCAAGACCCAAGAGCTGATCCAAAAAATGGAAGTGACCAGCCACAACCTTAATGTTACACAGAAAATTTTCTGAATTGAATGACACAGAATTATCCAACACCATCCATATCTTTGGGTCATACTTCAAAATGTATATCACCAGCCCAATGCAACTGCGAACGTTTTCACCTTTGTGAATAGAAACCATTTGATTATACAACTCAATAAGTTCATCGAAGTACTTGGTGGAAGTAGTTGAATTGCTTAAAGAGTGAATGTGTTCTTGCAGAATGCTGTCACATTTCAAAATCCAATGCTTTTTAGGTGATTGTCCAGTAACCACTGGGAAAAGATCCTTAAACTTGTGCCAAATGGACCGAATGAGATACTGGAGGCAAAGTGACATATGGAAGGATATGGAAAACTTTTGGAAAAGAACATTGAAAGTGGACACCAGTGGTCCTTGGTTGGTGAAAAAGGTGTGTTCGTGCACATGTAAACCATGCTTCCAACACAGTTGTAACATCCAGGATAGATGGGAAGTATTCTCTTGTGGAATTAGAGCCCAGGCTAGTGGTATAATCTGACCAAACAATGTCTTTGTAACAAGCACAAAACAAACACCATCGTAAGTTGGTTCTTTGAAATAATAGCAATCTCCAACAAAAACGGGTGCCATTAAGGTACGTTGCAATGAAACACCAGAAGAAGCGATCGGAAGAGTCAGCCTGGAGCACCACAGTCCTCATTGATAGGTTGGTCTCCGCTAATGCTTGCAAATAATAAGACAAAGTCCAATAGTACCAAGGAAGATTGTGTATTTGAATGTACTTGTAACAAGCAGTTTGGACATTTCCAAATTGAATGGCGATAGACATTTTAGTCTTTCCTTTCACCAGAACAAAACCGCTCTCTTTGTAGAATGCATTAGGCAAATCTTGGTTTTTCATTGAAGACCAAATGGGGTGAAAAAGGTATATTTGTTGAAGAAACAGTTGGAGGGGGGGGAGTGGAGAAGGACATCAGTATATGATGTGGACGGATAGTTTAGTGGCTGCTTGTGAGTTTCTAGATGAGAAACTTCCTGTGGTGTCAGAATCCAATTACTGTCATCCTTTGATAACCTGGTTACAGTTATATAAAAAATTTCACAACATTTGCACTGGAAAGAGCGAGACCTCAAATTAGGTTTTTCTGATGTTCTAGGAGAGCATGTTAATGTGATACTACCATAATGATTGAAGCAGTACGATTGAAGGTCCTTAATCAGGGCACCCTTTTTTGTAGAGCAGGAACCAAAAGGTGCACATTTCTTCCTGTATTGTTCAAGGGAGGATGGGTGCCAGAGTCAAATAGTAAGGACAGTTGCTGTAGTGACCATGATTGGAAATAAAAAGATCAAAGAGGCAACTTTGAGTGTATGGCAAGGAGGATGATGAAGTGTATTTATTGAGGCGCACCCCCACACCATAAAGGAGCAACTGAAAACAGCGGTGATAGGGATATCAAAAAAGGGACAGAAAAACTTAAGAATGAAAAGTGAAAAACTAAAAAATGAATAATTCACTGAAGTGAAATGACTGTTGGCGAAGGAAGAAAACAAGAAATTAGGAAATGTTGGTCTAAGTAAGTTTATATTAGAGGATGGTATGATTTTTAATAATTTTATAATAGCCGTCGCAAATAGTTACAGTTACAGTTACAATTATTTTCATGCTGAAAGACCCAGTTCTCATTTTAAGTACCAGGTTTCTCATGTTGAAAATTAAATTAAAATATTTTTTTCATCTCTCGTCCCTCAGGGCCCTCCGGTACCCACGCGCACATCCCCCTTTTCAAATTCCTCTCCTAGAAAAATGTGGGTTATTTTTGGTGAAAAATAACCCACGTTTCTAAAATGTGGGTTTTTTAATTTGAAAAATAACACACGAAAGAACCCAGGAACCCACAAATAACCCACAAAAGAACCCACGAATAACCCACAAATTTACAGTCACCATCTGGGTTGATGGAGAACCAAGGATGTGAAGTATTTTAGTCATTAAAGTTATTTAATCACTGTTTTTAATTTTTGGAAAAAGGCCCAGCAGGTTTGTGGGTTTTTCATGGGTTATTCATGGGTTATTTCATGGGTTATTCATGGGTTATTTCATGGGTTATTCATGGGTTAACCCAGGAACCCAGGAACCCACGTTTTAAAACATGGGTTATTTTTTGTGAAAAATAACCCACATAGAAATGTGGGTTATTTTATTTGAAAAAAAAAACACAAATCATACCCCCGAGATTAAATTTCAAAGGGGGGACGCGCGCGTTGGTTCCGGAGGGCCCAGCGAACGTAATCACTTATGAAGCTTTTCGTAAGTTTAGCTTCCGCCAGGACAAATCTCTATCACTTCGACGATCGTACCCTGAACCTTCAAGGCAGACTCTGATCTGACTTTCTATTGCAACTCGCTCACTTTCAATTTAAAAGCTCAACTTCAAAAATGGGAAATAAACAAACGAAGGGAAAATGTGACAACAGTCGACATGGTGTGGGTACACCTTTGAAAACGGAAGCATTGCAAGACAATCTTGTCAAAGAGACCCAGAGTTCTGGGTATTTTGTGACTGGGAGTCTTAAAAAGGATATTCAGATAGCTCATCTGAAAAAATACACCAAAACAGAAAAAAAGACGGGTGGCGTCGCGATCAAATTATTCGATGGGCAATCTTTCACACCATCACACGATTTCAAAGCAGAGGCCCAGATATTGGGTCGATGCGATCATCCAAATATTGTGAAGCTTTTTGAAATTACTAAGGTCGATAACAAATTGTCACTTATTCTTGAGTTGTGCGATGGTGGAAGTGTACTTGACCGCCTCCCGTACGGTGAGAATCAAGTCAAGAAAATTGTTCGTCAAGTTTGCTCAGCAGTTTCATACTTACACGGGAAAAATATAGTGCATCGAGACATCGAATGTTCCAATATTATGTACTCGACAAAAAGCGAAGATTCCGAAGTGAAATTGGTTGATTTTGGATCAGCTTGTGAACTCGAGATGGTACCGAACCATCCCGGAGCATTCAAATTTTTGAAAGAAAAAACCGGATCTCTAAGTGTGATGCCTCCGGAGTTTGTTCGTGGGAAGTACGGACCGAAAGTCGATGTTTGGTCTATTGGGGTAGTGGCATATACTTTGTTGAACAATGGCGAAGCTCCATTCAAGGGGTCCTCAATGTAAGTATTCAGAAAGAATGCAATATATGGGCGAGTGATGAACAGAACAAATCACGTTGGAAGCTACAGCACTATTTGTGATTGAAACATTGAAAGTGCTCATCATTTGATCGCTTTTCACGAATATCGTTATGTCATCTTATATTCCACATGAGTAAAGACCAGAATTAGAGTCAAAAATTCTCCAGGGAGCTATCAATTATAGAAAGTGGGAGCATTCTGAGGAAGCAAAAGCTTTTTGTAAAAGCACTTGTAAAATTAATGAAGGAATGAGAGTGACGGCCGCAGCAACACTATACGATCCATGGATAACCAGTGCCGACAAAAACACGTTTAAAACTTTGCCCGTCGAGTTAGTAACGAGTTTTAATTTCTACCGAAAGGCTCTTCCACTAAAGCGAATCGCGCTAAATGTGTTAGCTAGGAGAGTCAAATCTTCAAAATATCGAAAGGTCTTTGAACATTTGAACAAGAATCACACGGGTCTCATGACACAAGAAGAATTCATGGATGGCTTCAAGCATTCCGGTAACTCTGAGGCGGAACTTTATGAAATTTATAAGCAGCTGGATATTAACAACAACAACGGTATCACGTACACCGAGTTTATAGCGGCGACGCTCGAAGGCGGGGGTGAGCTGGAAGAGGGTACGTTGCGGGAGGCTTTCGATCTAATCTCGTCGAACGGGCGATACATCACGAAGAAAGACGTTGAATCTATTGTGAGTGAATCATTGAAGGACCGAGGTACTGCAGATAAAGCCAAAAATATGGCCGAGTATCAAATGAGAAGGTTCACCAAAAAGCACCACGAAGAAAAAATTCATTACGAAGACTTTGCCCAGATGTTTGAACACGGATTTCGCGACCTTCACAGCATGGATGCGATTACAGAAACGAGTTTAAATGCTGAACAATTTGCGAAGATGAACGAAAGCGGTCAGGAATTTGACATGGGTGTTATCGAGGAATAGAGCAGCAACTTATCCGAAAATGTTCCGTTTTTTTGGTAACTGAGGCCACGTAGATTGACCATCTGATACCGAATTGGTGTTTTCAGATGAATAAGTGAAACAGTGATAATGCTTGTTCTGTCGGCTGCAAATCTATTATTTCCAATTGGAAAACGGAAACACAATTTCTAGGTTTTGTATACGCTATTCGTCGTACTGTTCATACAAGATGCTGCAACAATCCGTTCAAATATCTAATTGATAATACGTAGTTTTATGACTGCATTATTTTGGAAGAATGTTTTTCATTTCTGTAGCACTACTCGGACTGGCTAAACCCTGGCTCTTTTCCTTTTGGATCGGGTTCGAGAAGAAGTAAACCGAAACCAGAATCATAACAGCCCCGACCACAAATTGTCCAGTAATAGGCGTTCCAAATAACAGAAAGGATACTGCGGTACCAAAGCAGACACTCACTCCGGTTGCTAATCCCTTGAGCACGTTATCAGCATACTTGATGACGGCCGCCACCAAGAGACCCCCACCGGCCTGGAGACAAACCAATACCCATGGCCAAAACGTGAATCCATGAAAGTATGACAAAGATGCTTTCTCAGGATCGGCATTCCACGCACCTTGGACAAGTGCAATGACGATGGTATAAAACGCCAATTGCATGTTTCTCATCCATACACTAACGGGCTGCTGTTTTCCTCCGGAACCACTATTCTTAACCACTTTTTCGAAGTAGACTCCCGCCAATGCGCTCGAGATGCAGGCAACACTGACAGCAACCAAACCCGCTACCATGGATTGGGAAGCTAGATCTGCGTCGTCTTTCTTCTTGTCTTCCGGTTTGTCCAATACCACCACCGCTACTCCAAGACTCAAGGTAACGAGGCAAACCCATTGCTGTGGACTGTACTTGCGATTCAACATGATGACACTAACAACAGCCGTCGTTACTAGCTTCGCTTGGTAAGTTACCTGGAAGATTGGGGCCGTCAGGTTCGCTAGTGCAACGTAGAGCAGCGTGTTTTGTACGAGGTACAACAATGCGGGGATCGTGATTTTGAGTGCGTCGTAAGGTCGGTTGATTATGTTGTCCTGAATCGACTTTACCAACCCGCCATTGGTGCTCACATACTCAAAGATACAACTGAGAAAAAGCTTGCCGAACTCGGTGATAACGATCAAGTGGTTGACAGAGTACTGGTCCTCTACGCGAACTTCGGAACGGGTATAGCGACCCACCAAAACAGTCGTGGCATTTTGCAAGACCATCCCCGACAACAAGATCAACTTGAAGGTGGAGCTGGAGAAAAAGTCCGACATGTTTGTGAGGATGATTGAATCGGTGCTGTGCTACGTTCTTTCTTTTAACCAAGAACCTACGATGCAATTCGTTGAGAAAACGAAGATACAGTTTGGTTTGAATGCATTCACTATTGGACTTTTGTCTCAAAACAGGCCACTGCGGAATACCTTGCCATGAGATGCGGAAGCATTTTTGAAGCTTACGTAGAGTACGTTGCATTTTTCGGTCATTGTACAACAAAAACGTACCGTACACTAAATAAGGTACGAGTACCATACCATACGGTACGTACAAAATGATTTTTAAATTTTTTGTTCCCGAGGGTAATGTTTGTAACTGCACGTGTACTACTACAGTCCCGTTCAGCTACTCGTCTTGCTATCATGTGCTGTACTACTACTACTACCGATAGTATTTCACTAATTAGAGTAGTACAGTAGAAGTAGTCCATTAGTGCTAGTTTTATCAAAATAAATAAAATTGACATGAGTGCTAGAACAATACTTTTGTTCTGTAAAACAATATGACTATTGTAGTCATTCAGGTTGACTAAGGAAAAATAAAATAATACTGATTTCTTATATTCTAACAGCGCTTTTTTCAGGTCAATGCATTGCATATTAGTGAGGCTCTGTGGTAGGCTTTCGACTCCGGCGTTTAGTAAGCCATGTGCTTCTTGACATCGGCGGGATCGACATTGCCATCCTTGAAGCGATCGGGATCTATTGCCGGTGGCTTAGGAATGGTAAACAAACTGTTCTTTCCAAGGGGACCCTCGCAACTTACTTGTCCATTCATTGGAAGAGAACCCCATTTTCCTACAGCGGGGAGTTCGTCTTTTTTCATAGCTTCCAACAATTCAATCATGGTTTCCTTGCTCAAACATTCGTAGTAATCGTCGTTAATTTGCACCATTGGAGCGTTGGCACAAGCTCCCAAACATTCAACTTCCAATAGAGTAAAATATCCACAATCCGAAGTTTGCCCATTCTTTATCCCTAAGTGATCTTGAATGGTCTTCATGATTTCTTCACTACCGCAAATCATGCACGGAGTTGTTCCACACACTTGCATGAAGTATTTTCCAACAGGAGTTCGGTTGAACATTGTGTAAAAGGACGCAACTTCGTAAACTCGGACTGGAGCGATGTTGCAGATCTGGGCCACCTTGTCCATGGCAGCAAGAGGTAACCATCCTCCGTTCTGGCGCTGAGCCAAGTCGAGCAACGGGATCATGGCCGCCTGGCGATAATTGTCGGGATACTTTTGGAGAATCCGATTTGCACGTTCGTAGTTTTCATCGGTGAAGTCGAAAAAAGTAGTTTCATTGTTGTCCTTGCTTTCCAGGTGCTATTTGAACGCCAAACATTTAATTTTCCACACAATGGATGCACCATCGTCATCAACGTACATTGATTTGCAGAAAAAAACCATGTCGTAATCAGTGATTGCAATCGAACGAAAAGAAACAGGTATGCGAAAAAATAAGATGTCAGCTCGATCTAAACATTCAATTCACGCATTGCGCAATGCAAATATTGGAGCCAACTGGTTGTCAATACACATCACATTGCGCATCGAATCGTTTTGTATCGGATCTCATCGCATCTCGTCGCATCGTGAGCACCCGCTAACTTACGAACGATTTGGTAGTCCCCATCGATCGGACAGACTGCTTTTGAAGCAGTCTGCTCACAGCTGACTTAGCCAATCGAGTTGATCTAGTCGACAACATGATGCCACGCGCTGTTGAGGTTTACTAACTCTTCTGCGGGAGGTATACCCTGGAGTAATACATTCGCTTGAAAGGTTGGTGTCTATTCGGAAGAGGTACCGGTGTAGACCGTCAGGTAGTGCGAGTACCTGGTACGGTACCCAGTAGTTCACCGCAGAGTGATATACCGGTAGTACGAGTACTAAGCAGGTACGACTTCTGTACCTCCCCACTTGTACTGCTGCGCCGTTTCACATGTCGGCAGAATCGATGATGCCCTTAAAGGAACGTACGAGTAGCGTCATCTTAGTATTGAAAACGCTGACAGTAACGGCCCCACCTTCACTTCACTTCTCTCAGACCCCACATTAGTCTAATGAGTCATTCATCCATGGATTGTAGATTCTAGCCGAATGTCACTGTTTGGGAAATTCGATGCATACAAACCGTAATAACGGTACGTACCTAGCTCCAATCAACCTGCACCCTACAGCACTTCGTACCTAGTACCTACGGTACGTACTCGTACTACGTACTTACTACCACTTGTGAAACAGGAGTACGGACATACGTACTACTGTACGGTATGTACGTCCTAATTATGTACGAAGTACTGTATGAACAATTTACCATCACTTCGTACTGTACTACTGCTTAATATTGCTTGTGCTTCTACCGTTGTACTGTACGAAGTACGATACTGTACAGTTCGTATGTATGTAAAGTACAGTACTGCACATTTAAAAATCATAGTAGTAAATACTGAATACAGTACCGTACGTACCGTACAAGGTACAGAACGAACTTCTATGATGTGAAACACATTTGCACTAATGGAATTGGCTCGATGCGTCGCCTTCGTTACAAATCGCACTCGTCGTAGCCTGTACCGGTAGTAGATAATTGCTCCTAGTAGCGGTCCTCAAGGGCCTGGTGATACATTATTTTTTATGAACCATACTGTAGCGCTGGAATCGGCTCCGCGCTCCTCTGGTTTGGCTACTAACCTATTAGAAGGTCTGCTCTATTCATTTTGTATCGCATCTATCACTACTTTTTCAGTTCTACGCTAGTACTGTTAATAAAATGGTAGTACAACTACTAGCAATCTAAATTAAAAGTAGAAATCACCGAAAGTCCAAGCTCGAAGGACGGAGTTGGCTAAACCTGGATGTAACGGTCGCAGTAGTAGTAGTAGCAGCAGCAGGGATTGCTATGGAGGTAGAAGAGGAGCAGAAACGTGAAACATCTTTTCTACATCACCATAAATTATCTTCAAGACGTATCTTGGACTGTGAAGATGTCGTCGGCATTGACCATTACTACTACTACCAACAGTTGATGCTTTAGCAAATTACTTTGGGCAGCTGGACATTGAATTCGAGCAGACAAACAAGGGGCAATATTAATGTTATTTATTGATAACGTGTGGGCGTCATCCGGGTACGTGTTTGCTGCTGAAATCTGGACCAGTCATACCTCCCACATGGCGCACTCATGAGAACCATTCACGCAATGATGTTCGCGCTGATTTGTGAAGAGAACCCATCCATCAAATCGGAGGAAACGCTTTTCCGTTGTGTACGGGAACAGGTACGAGTACTTGTCCTTGACTTCCAAAATTCACTCGCATCACCTTGTGAACAATACTCGTAACAAATAGAATTCTATTTTGGATCCCTGGATCACTGCGATGTAAAGAAGGCAACGCAAATCATCGATATCTTTCTGACAACCTGCTTCATCGAGGTAGACACGCATTTTCGATTAGTTCTCTCATTTTCATGATCAGCGAAGAACCCATTGACTCGTAAATTACCCGCTTCAATCGGCATTGGAAACCATCCCTCCTCAACATCGTCAATTCGACTAGAAAATCAAGGAAATATTCTCTCAAAAAGATCAGTGCAAGAAAATCATGGCTACCTCAAATCTCTTATCAGGCGAACGGCTGGGTTCATTCCTTACCGATGAAAAGGATGATAGCATCCTTGTAGAACCAGATTCCATCCACCTCGCCGTTTCTAACGAAGATTGGTATAAAGTGAGTACGATTGTGTAACTTTCCAACTGACACCTGCACAAAATACGAGAACCGTGATTCAACAATTGTTCAGATTCTCAACCTCAAATTGTTTTCGACAACTACGCATCATTTTCAAAACATAGCAAACCCTCTCTATCGTTGTTGTCGGTGCGAGTGGAGACTTGGCGAAGAAAAAGACATATCCGAGCCTTTTGAATCTTTTCGAAGAAAACCTTTTGCCAAGTGAATTCGTCATTTACGGATATGCCAGAAGCAAGAAAACTCATGAAGAACTTCGCCAACATCTTTACCCCCATTTGATCAAAACGGGAGCCCGCGAGTTCATCGTGAAAGGATTTTTGGAGCGATGCTTCTATTATTCTGGAAAGACGTACGTTATAGAAATTGAGTTTCAAAGCTTATGTTGCACGGCGCACCTTATATTCAGAGAATAAATTGTATCATGATCCATCTGTCCTGACTCCTAACATTTTAATCTCCTTAACTTCAATTACAGATATGGGGATGAAGCTGCATATGCAAAAATGGTTTCGGACCTCGACGAGTTTGAGAACAAGTCGGAGAGCCAACATGCGAACCGTTTGTTTTACCTAGCTGTTCCTCCAAATGTGTTTGGGGAATCGGGGGTTGTAATCAAGAAAGTCGGCATGTGCACGACAGGATGGACTCGAGTCGTCGTCGAAAAACCGTTTGGGCGCGATTTGGATACGTGCAACGAGTTGTTGAAATCTTTATCAGAGGATTTTGACGAAGAACACCTCTATAGAATTGACCACTACCTTGGCAAAGAAGTGGTTCAAAATTTAATGCTTTTCCGTTTTGGAAATCCAATGTGGGAGCCTATCTGGAACCGCGAGTCGATTGAGTCTGTTACGATCACCTTCAAGGAACCATTTGGAACCGAAGGTCGCGGGGGTTATTTTGATCAGTAAGTATATACGATGATCTTTCTTTGAGTTCAACGTCTTCTGCGATGATGGATCCAATTGTGTCAGCTTCATCTCAAATAATATTTCTACGTCAACCCCACAATTTTTCACAACAGATTCGGTATCATTCGCGATATTCTTCAGAACCATCTTCTGCAAGTGCTAACTTTGTTCGCGATGGAACCTCCAGAAAGTGATGATGCAGACTCTATTCGAAATGCTAAGGTAGAAGTATTGAAGAACATGGATATCATCACTCTTGAAGATTGTTTGCTTGGACAGTATGATGGTTACACTGACGACCCAACAATTGAAAATAAAGACACTAACTGCCCCACTTACGCCGCTATCCGATGCTGGATTCATACTCCACGCTGGGAAGGTGTACCGTTTATTTTGCAAGCGGGAAAAAATCTTAACGAAAAGTTAGTTGACGTTAGGGCGCGCTTCAAGCCTGCAAGGTCCTTAAAATCGGTTCAGTCGTTTTCTAAGAGCCTTGAACACTCGGAACTGGTTCTTCGTCTGCAGCCAAATCCATCATTGGAGCTTCACAATAACATAAAGACACCGGGTCTCTCATTTTCACCCATGAAAGGGAAAATGGTAATGAACTATGAAGACATGCCCAATTTGTCTAATCCCGATGCATACACCCGACTTCTACTTGCAGTGATGAGAGGGGACCAGGGATCCTTTGTTCGGGACGACGAGCTACGCCGATCATGGGAGATCTTCACTCCATTGCTTCATACCATTGAGGACTCAGGAGTAAAGCCGCTGCCTTACAAGCCTAAATCCACTGGACCAGAGGATCTAGCGGATTGGATGAAAGTCATGTCCAAATCCGATGCATCACTGAAATCGTCGCTGTAATGACAGTAATTTTGATGCACTATTGTACTTGGTGGGTGACATGTCCACGGACCCAGGACAAGCCCGATAAATAGGGTCAATCGAGCACATCATGTATACGACATGGATGGTACTGACGCGATTGCCATTCACTAAAATCTTTTCGTATTCTAAATTTAAAGGAGAGATAATGCTATATCTTTCTGACGCATAGTTATCAATACACAGAGAAAGTCAAAACTAATACAATTATATAATTTTACATTAAACTTTTTCAAAATATTTTCAAAAATTATTGCACATGTCACTCATTATTTCAGAGAGACCTTGTGAAATTAAATTTACAGGATATTGTAGTTGCTCTAACGGCAACCATATAATATCCCGAAGAACACAAAATGCGTTACATTTGATCTCTCATTGAATGTTGCAGGATGTTTTAGCTTCCCGTATTCAACTTTTCTTCCAGTGCCAATGACAGTTGGTTCAGTCGTTTCTTTCTTAATGTCCGGTTACGAGCCCTCACCGTTTCAGGATGCTCTGGCCCAAGCGATAACTCGTATATTTCAAGAGCCGACTTATTCTCTTCAAGAGACTTCTCGATTTCTCCCATTCCGCGTAGAATGATAGCAATCTTGCTATGTAAGTCTGCAGAATCAGGATGAAGGTTTTGAATCGTTTCGATCGCCATACGGTACTCAGCAATAGCTTTAATAAGAGATTCACAAGATTTTCTACTTAGTTCTTTGAAGTTTCATCGCAAATCAATAGAATTACTATAACACATCTGCCTTACCTTGTGCGTACTTCTTACTCTTCGTGAAGTCGTCCCCTTTGATTTCGTGAGCAATACTTGCATCAATTCCAGCCTTGAACGAATCGTGACATGCTTGGGTGGCACCCATGGTCTTGAAGACCTCATCTATAGCAACTTCCGTCCAGGTTAAGTACTTCTGGTTTGTTACCATGACACGAACAAAAATACGCAACGATCTAGAGAGAGCGACAAGGGCCTCATCGTGTTCCTTAAGCTTACAAAGTGACCGACCAATCCAATAATAGGTTCTTGAGAGAAACAAAAATAGATGACAAAGCAAATTTAGCGTCCGACTAAACCATCTGCGGAGATGACCAGAAGATAGTGATTTTCCGATCAAAGTATATTGGATGATTCTTACCTGCCTGTTTCGTCATGGTATTTTCCCAGTAGACCCTCTCTCACCGTCAATGCCTTTCGATATTGCTCTAACGCCTGAAAATCATTATTTAAAATCAAATTCGAATTAAAAGGTTTGTTGAGAAAAGAAATGTAACATCGTTTTTCAATAAGAGAGTCGTCAAAATTTGAATTGTGATCGCAATCTGGCTTTCCTCGACAAAAAGAAATCGCACTCACACGACGAGAGTCTTGAAATTTCCAACAGAGCTGATATCCTTCATCAAAATAGCCTTTGGCTTCTTCTAGCTTTTTTCGTTGGGCTTCTAGATTATGTTTCTCGTCTCCCTCCCTTGCTAGAAACAGCCGTTGTTTTATCGGAGAGGTAGAACCTCTCCGGGCAGTCATCGGTAGACTACGAGTCGGAGTTTCACGCACTTTTGGAACTTCTGAGGTAGACAACGATGGTTGGTGATCTGTCGATTTTGATTGATCTGAATAGAATGATCGATCATTTTTACTGGTTCTTCGTTGCATCTCAGATACTACGTTTGGTGAGCTCACCAAAATCTTTCCTCCTGTTGATCCCCTGATTGTCTCTCGAAGACTGAACTTTCTAAATTCTTTGAAATTATTGACTACCCCTCTCTCGTCGCTTTCACTAGCTTTTTGAGGGGAAGGGGCCATACGATTGCTGCTTGAGAATTTTCCCCTATCCCATCCACCGTTATCAGTCGTCGTGAATCCTTTTTCTTTAGTCTCCTTTTGTTTGATTGCTTCAATCTCCGCTCTGATTTTGTTCATTTTCACGTAAGCCCCTTGTTGCTCCTTAACCAAACTCTGTTGTTTATCTTTATCAGCCTTCTGCTGTTCTAATTCAGCCTTGACAGCGGCACGGCTAGCCTTCAATGCTGCTCGAATTTCAGATGGCCTAGCATTTTTCAATTTAATCACTACACCTCTGTCACTAATCTCATCGTGAGCATTTTGAATGGTGGCAAGAACGGGATCCCTGCGAACTCCTGGTTCCCAGAAACTCGTGGGAAAACTGAGTCTAGAGTTTGATGCAGTTAAAATTTCTAATGGCTTTGGGGCCTTAGTTGTCTCTCTCGTTTCACCAGAATTCAAAGCACCTGCCCTCAAGTGTGAAACGTTCGTTGAAGCGTCAAAACTCGCCTTTGATGCAGACCGTACATTAGATGGTTTTCCAGCCTTCATCACATCTCCAATGTTGCATATTATTGTTTTCTATATTTTAGATGCTCCTGAATTGGAGCAGGTCGAACGCAAGCACAAACCATATTTGTACGTTTTCATTCCTTCATCCTTCATACTGTATTCCGAATGCGCACCGACACGTTCGGACGCAAACGGAGAAGCTACTGTAGAGATGAGAAAAATGCCAAATTAGAAAAAAAAAAAAATCGTTCTTCTGGATTCTTCTGGATACTAATACAAGAACTACTACAGTAGTACTATTATTTATTTCTAATACTCATTGATCATACAATTGTCGATACCTACTAATCCTAGAATCTTCTTCCAGAGTATTACTTGCTTCGTCCTCTGATCCACTATTTCATGAGAGGAAACCTTATCAGCCAAAATTGCGCAAATAATAGTAGTACTAGTACAAAGAATTAAGTTTCTGAACAAAATGTTCAACACAAAGAAAATTATCCTCCTTTGTAATGAGATTCTAAACTAATAGTAGCAGCCTTATTAATTAATTATTTAACTTTCCTATTAGTTGAAAGACAACCACCATGCGCAAGATGTGAGGCAATACCACGTAAATCACGAGTAGATAGTGAGTTCTTAAATGATCACCATTGAAACCCTCCCCTTGACTGTCTTTCTATTTTTTCTTTGTAGTATGCAACAAGGGCTCTCTTTACAGTAGTTGCACACTAGAAAGTCCATGGTCATACCAAGCTTAATCCTTATATCCAATTAACCTTGGTTGCATGAGAAAATCTTCTAGCGTACTATCTGTTTCATATCATTATCGTCATCCGAAAATTCTGTCTCATTTGCATTTGCATGGGGTCCGGATATCAGGAATCCGTTCGAAATGTCGCCGATGGTTCGAAGTTTCTCTCGTGTTCCACTCTTGGAGTTTAGACACTCGCTTTACAAAATCAAACTGAAACTTGCTTCTTCTGACCGGGCATCGTCTACGGCGACAGCAACAACTTCGTCTGCCACCGATGAGGCCAGGCTCTGTCGTTCTTCTCGGCGCGACTGAATGCGCTGAAACAACGAGGAACCGCCCAGCAGCGAGCTGCGCACGGGAGGCACGGGCACGGGCACCGCAGCCGGCAGTTCTACCTCCTCTGCGCCGGGGTTGGCAGCGTCCACGATGACCACGCCCGGTGCGCACAATTCGTGGCCGACCTCTTGGCATTCTGCTTCCGGGATTTCGTCGTTTCTCGCCGAGTCGTCCGATGCCACGGCAACCTCCACGGGTGGACGCGGTCGCGCTTTCATGGCGTTTAGGTACGCCTGACACTCGTCGTCCAGTTCTTCCGTGGAGGGAAAACTATCGATTTCTGCGAGAACCTGGCGAAGCCGGTCTGCCTTGTCGCACTGGCTCCCGTCATTGATGGACTTTAGCGTCGAGTGGATCGCGTTCGCCTCCATGACCAAGACGGCCGCGGAGAGCGCCCCACCCGCAAACCTCGCAAATCGCACGGTGCGTGCCGCGGCGGTGCCGGCCCGGGAGAACGCGGTGGCACCCCTGGCACCGGCGGCCCCGGCACCCGCGGCCGCACTGGCACCTGCCCCGGCCGCGCTGGCCCCCGCGGCGGCGGTGCCGACCACCGTCATCTCGCCCGCGGCACCCGCCGCCACCGCTCCGACGGCACCCGCCTCGGCTCCGGCCAGGCCACCGAGGGTGAGCGATCGTCCAACGTTGGAGCCGATCACGACGGCGTTTTTGTTTTTTTCGTAGGATTCCATCACCTGGTTTCGGAGGTGGGCCGAGCCCGGCTCGGCCTCGTAGACGTCGGTTCGGATGTGGTCCCGCAGCATGGCGTCCCGGAGGGTGCTTGTGACTCGTAGAATCGACAGGGCCATGCCGTGGAGCGCGGTGATCCGATCCGCGAGTTTTCTGGGTTCGGAGAAGTAATTGATCGCTTCGGTGCCGGTCTGGACCGTTGTGGCACCTCCCCCAAAGAACAAGCTCGCAATGAGCAGGGGCGGTCCGGCCGGTGTCAGGATGGATGCCGCCGCAGCGATTCCCAGGACACCCGACAGAACTCCGACGCTGCTGCTCGCCAGGCCGATCTTGTCCTGCTTCCCTTTCTGATCCTCCAGAGAGGCAGCAATGTGTTTGGCAAACTGTTTCGAGTATTTCAGCAGCAGCATGCATCGATCGTAGCAATCGATCATGTAGTCAATGCTCTCGGACCTCTTGACGGGATCCGACTGCGACACGCAGTCCACGATGAACTCGAGTTCGAAGAGTCGCTCGCACTTGAGACAGAGCGTGATGCCCTCCTTTCGAAAGCTCGCGGACGAGTGCGAGGGGCAGCTCGGCGACGCGCAGATGAGGCAGGGGTTGGTGTTGGCCTGGGTTCGCTTGTTGATGAGCCGTTGGATCCGCGGGAGCGCGATGGGTTTGTCGCTCTTGGTCGGGGTTGGCCTGCCGGAATCGATGCTGGCCTGGCTGCTGCCGATTCCCTTGATGAGGATGCCGGGATCGGCGGCGGATCCGTCTTCTTTCACCTGGTTGTCCCCGAAGATGCTCGTCGTAACGGAGCTATTGAGGAGGCCCCGGATGCGCGGAAAGCTTGCTCCGGAAGACGACATGGAGTTCGAAGAGGAGGACAGCCCCGGGCCCCCGCTTGCCGGTCCCTTCGCCGCGGACGCGGGCGGAGCCGGTGGTCGGGGCCCGGCCCCGCCAGTCGGACCGGCAGCGACCGGCGCGGGAGGGGCCTGGATCCCCGCCGGCTGGGGCAGGCTCTGTATCGAACCCCATAGTTTTCGGATCCTCGGAAAACTCTTGGAAGGACCTCCCGTCGTCTCCCTCCGGTCGGGGGGGGGAGGATGGGCCGCGGGGGCCGCCGCTGCTTCCTCCGAGGCGGCGGTCGGATTCTTCGCGTGTCCGGCGGCCGCGCTTGCACCATGTTCGGTCGCCTCTTCGTTGCCGTTGCTGGCATCGGAGCCGTCGGTAGCACTTGCGCCTGCTCGGGCCGCACCCGCTTGGAGGGAGGCACTCACCCTGCTCGCCAAGCCCCGGGACGACGCCGACGACGACACCGAGCCGAACAGGCCGTGAATGATGGGAAACTGTTCCCGCAGCTCCTCGTCGTTCGGCGTTGGTGCCGTTGCCGAGGAATGAAAGAGGCCGTGGAGCCGTGGAAACTGTTCCTGGACGTCGACCGAATGGGCCGAGTCCACGAGCTTCTGCAGCCGCGGAAAGTGCGACTTGGTCGCCCCCCTCTGGATCAAAAGGCAGGCGGTGCACATCTCGTGGTCGATCTCGTGGCTCGGGATCCCCAGCTCGTGGCACCGGACGTCCAGGTTGAGCCGCCTCATCTTCTCGAGGGCCTGGTAGGCCACGTTGAGCTGGCTGGCGGCTTCCGGCGGGCTCTCGGGCTCCGGATCGGGGGCCTGCGGGGTGTAGAGCGTGGCCGAGCCGCCGGCGTCCCCGTTCGGTACCCGGACCACGTACACCCCGTCCCTCCTCCGGTAGTCGAGGACGGTGCCGGGTCCAAAGGCCGTCCGGACCTTTTTTCCGATCAGTCGTCGGCCGTTGTCTCCGTCGTCGTCGTTGTTCTCGTCGTTGTTCTCATTCTCGTCGTCGTCGTCGTTGTTGGCCTCGTCGCCGCGGTCCGCATCGGCGCCGTTCGCTGCTGCGACGGGAGGTTTTTCGTCCGAGGCACCGCCGGGGCGGCCTCCCGGTGGGTTGCTTTCCCCTGGGGGAGGGCCGTCCGCCGCCCCTGGTTTCCTCGGGGCCGGTTCGTCCAGGGACCCATCCCCTGCCGCGCCGGGAGTGTCTTCCTCGCTCGGAACAGCTTCCCGTTCCGGGTGGGCAGCGCTTGCGCCGCTGTCCTCGCTCCGTTCGACACCACCGGCGACGTGGTCCCTTTCGTTGGTGCCGTTGCTCGCCGGGCCGTCGTGGTTCATTTTTTCTGTGGAAGAACCAACAACAAGTGTTTCCTGGCGGGTGTCTGTCGTCGTTCCCGCTGTATCTTCCGTTGCTTCCAAAGGCAATCTTGCGTTGCTTGCTTGCGTTGCTTGCTGTTCTCTGCCCCTGCTCGTCCGTTGTGCTGCCTGGCGGGGTCTTCTGGTGTAGATCTCTGGGTGGGGAGCCTGGGCGGTTGTGCTTGTTGTTCCGTGGTTCGTCGTTTCTTGTTTCGGCACTGGGCGGGAACAGACTCTTTTGTGGATTGATGTTCCTTTCTCGTTTCGTCCTCGGGGGGGATTTTGGAGGTGATCGGTGCCGTGCGTGCCGCTTGTCGAATCGAGTTCAACGGGTTCGGGACCGCCGATAATACCGTCAAGGGCGGGGGTATTTACAGTGCCGTCGTTGCAACGAAGGATTTTTTGGTGAGTGCGTTTTGGTATTGATAGTATCAGCGTGGAGACCCTGTTTCCCGAATTCTTTTATTTCTTGTCGACGATAATTTTTATGAGGATACAGGTAAAGCAACGTAAAAGTACTACCGTAGGATACTACGAATCAGTGGGGTTACAGTATGCTACAAGCACGAGTACGTACGGTACCAGTTACGGTACAGACGTACGTACGGTAACGAAGGTAGAACGAAAACAAGTTGAATCGTGATTCGGGGACTATGCAAGTTCCGCAAAAAAATATTGCGGTTTTTGGTTTCTCTCGGGAATCTCAATGACGATGATCTCCCAATCCAATAGATTATTCTCGGCAAAGGATGATGCTCGTAGCTAGCTAAGTACAGTATGGATACAGTATGGATCAGAAGTCGGCAAGGAGAACACACTGTACTTCATTCCAACTCTGTGAATGCAATGCAATTCTATTCGTACATATATTTCCTAGTTCTAATGAGTCTTTTGTTTTACCCGGAATGGATTCCCTTTGAGAGACTGTTTGCGAATCGCGTGTGGCAGCCACGCCCCCGCAAGCCCATTGCAGAGCCCATAGCAGCGCCAAGCGAGTACGTACCCGTGCCCGTGCCAGAGCACTGACTTCCCACCGATAGAAAAAATACCATCGCCCGGGATCCCGCCGCCCGACAAGCCTGTCCTTTGGTTCGTTCCCCCGGCAGCTGCCAAGAAGAAAGCACGCCGGCGAAACCATCTCCTGCCACCGCCGCGGCGGTGACATTCCGGTGCGATTCGATTCGATTTTATTCGGTGCGATTCGATTCGATGCGATGCGATAAATCCCCTGTCTTGGTTCGTCTCGTCTCGTCTCGTCTCGTCTCGTCCCGTGCAAACTCGGTGGCCGAACGGTGCCCGCCGGCCCGTCCCCAAAGCCCCGGGCTCCCTTTCGGGTGCCACCGATGCAGCTACAGCTACAGCTGCAGCTCCTCGTCGTCGTCGTCGTCCATGTCGATGGCCGCCCGGGCCCGGACCCGCTGGGTGGCCTCCTCCCTCTTCTTGTAGCGCCGGACCTTCCGGGCCGTGTCGGGGTCCTCGGCAAACTCGGAAGCCGACATGGAAACGTTGTTGCAGCCGGGCTTGGGGCACTTGCGGCTCTTCTTCAGGAGCTGGAGGATGGCCGCCTTCTCGAAGACGTGCCCGCAGACCGAGGACCGGAAGGGGACCTCCATGGGGGCCAGCGTGAGGGGGCAGCGAATGTCCGAGAGGCCGATCCCGTGGTCGCCGACGACGGCCAGCTCCTCGTCCCCGCTTTCCTCCTCCCCCAGCAGCCGGCAGAGCTTGGCGTAGGCCGGCTCCCCGGCGATTGGACCGGAGCCCGCGGCGATGGCCTCCGAGGCCCTCCGGTACTCGGCGGCCGTTTCCTGCTGGAAGCGGTGCGGCTTGGGGTTGCTGTTGCTTTCGCCGCCGGTGTCCGTTCCGGAAGCGCTCTGGTTCATGGCCTCGGTGGCCCTTCCGCAGACCACCCGGGTGGCGTCGGAATAGGCCCGGATGTTCCGCTCCACCGCAATGTTTTCCTTGGCGGACTTCAAGAGCTCCTCGCGGAGGGCCTCGGTGGTCTCCGCCCCCAGGAGCTCCTCGAACCTCTGCCCCCGGGCGATCCGGAGGGCGATCCCGGACGACATGGACTCGGCCTCCTCGAGGTTGGCCTTGAGTTTCTTGGCCTGGCGGTCCGCGAGGCTCGCCAGGACCCCGATCGAGGACCGCTCCTGGCTCTGGGGGTAGTACGGCATGGTATGTTGTGGCGTTGCGTTGTGTTGCGTTGTGTGCGGTGGGAGAACGGGGCTGGGATTGGATTGGATTGGGTGGGTGGAACAGTCTGTGCTGTGCCGTGCTGTGCGTCCCTCGGTGGTTTCGGTTTCTGGGTGGGCCTTTGGTGGATCGGTGTTGCTTGACATGTCTTCTTCTCACCGACGGAAACACAAACAACGGCAATGACGGACGCCTTCCGGGGAGCAGGGAAGTCTTCGCGGCTCCGAAAAAACGGGCGCGGCAGAAACTGTTACAATCGTACTTGTATTCTCTATCGGCTAGTGTATGGTATCATACTACAATACAAACTGTAGATACGATACGTATCATACGACGTACGGTACGATACGACAAACGTGGGGGCGCGCAATACACCGTATTCGGAACCATCCGAATCGCAAGGGGTGATCGGGAGATGGGAAACGCAAACGCAAACCCAGCTTACTACCAGCAAAAATGTAGTACGAGTAGTACCGTACGTACCGTAGCAAAATGGGACGGCAAACGGGAAGAAGAAGAAGAACCTCTGTTTCTTCGTTTCATTTTTGGCGATTCCGACCAATCGGGAACCCCGGTTCCATTCTCTCCCGTCGATTGCGTTCTTAGCACGCCAGCCGCACCCGGGTCTCCCCCCAATTTCCAGAAGTTTTTGCGGTGGAACTCGTACCACCGCACCGCGCTGTAGTTTCGTGATTGCCGTACCAAACTACGAGTAGCAGCACCCGACACATCATTTTTTACTGTATCACAAAAAACAAACCCTTCCCGGTGATGGGATGGGGTCTCAAGATCCGAACGTACCGTTGCGTACGGTTTGGTACGGTCCCAACGTGCTGTAAACACTGGTACTACCGGTGCCTCACAAAGATTTCGGAGAACTCGCGCCTTCGCCTCCAATCAGGATTGGAGCAGATGTTTCTGATTCGCTGTTTGTACTTGCAGACTTCCGGCACGCCCACTAAACGTGTAACCCAACCCATCATTGATGTGTTGAACGAATGAATCGTACCGGTACATTCTCTACTACCATACGTACCGTAGGGAACGAAACCCCAAAAAAGTATTCTGTGGACTCGCGACAATCGGTCGTAACCGTTGAGCGGAAACCCCGTACCAGAAACATACCCTACCGTAGGAGAACCTTCTACCGCACCGACGAAATTACACCCGGATCTACGCCACAGCATCTATCGTCGACTGCACCACCAGAGGGCAACAATCACTAACTCTCGTACCAGCAACACCAACAACAAAACCAACAACAACACCAACAGCGAATAAGCACACACACACCATGCTGTCTTCCCGCACGTCGCGACCCATCCTCCGAGGGGTCTCCCGGGGACTCTCCCTCGCGAGCAAGCGCGGAGGCGCACGGCAGATGTCGACCTTTCTCGACGAATACGACGCCATCGTCGAGGAGCGCGCCGCCATGGGCGGGGGCTTCGGGGTCCCCCCGCCGCCCCTCGACGCCTCCCAGACCAGCCGGGTGATCGAGGAGCTCAAGGAGTCCCCCAACAAGAGGCTCGAGGACCTCCTGGTCCACCGGGTCCCCCCCGGGGTCGACGACGCCGCCTACGTCAAGGCCACCTGGCTCTCCGCCCTGGCGACCGGGAAGGAATCCAACGAGTCCATCTCGAGGGCGATGGCGACCGAGCTCCTCGGAACCATGCAGGGGGGATACAACGTGGCCACCCTCGTCGAGCTCCTCAAGGACCCCGACGCCTCGATCGCCGGACTCGCCGCCGACCAGCTCTGCCACACCCTCCTGGTCTTTGACGGCTTTTACGACGTCGAGGCCCTCGCCAAGGAGGGAAACGCCCACGCCCACAAGGTCCTGGAGAGCTGGGCCGCCGCGGAGTGGTACCTCAAGAAGCCTGAGGTGGCCAAGGAAATGACCGCCACCGTCTTCAAGGTCACCGGCGAAACCAACACGGACGACCTCAGCCCCGCACAGGACGCCTGGTCCCGACCCGACATTCCCCTCCACGCCCTGGCCATGCTCAAGAACACCCGCGACGGGATTTCCCCGGAGGTCGACGGAGAGATCGGTCCCCTCAGCCAGCTCAAGGAGCTCAAGGAGAAGGGACACCCACTCGCCTACGTCGGAGACGTCGTCGGAACCGGCTCCTCCCGCAAGTCCGCTACCAACTCGGTCCTCTGGCACATGGGAGACGACATCCCCTACGTTCCCAACATGAGGGGCGGCGGCCTCTGTCTGGGTGGAAAGATCGCCCCCATTTTCTACAACACCATGGAGGACTCGGGTGCCCTCCCCATCGAGCTGAAGGTCGACGACATGAACATGGGAGACGTCATCACCGTCCACCCCCACGACGGCGTCGTCACCGCGGAGGACGGATCGGTCATCACCGACTTTAAGCTCAAGACCAACGTCATTCTGGACGAGGTCCGCGCCGGTGGCCGCATCCCGCTCATCATCGGCCGCGGCATCACCAGCAAGGCCCGGGTGGCCCTGGGCCGCGACGAAGCCGTCGACGACGTCTTCAACATGCCCGAGCCGCCCTCGGGCCCCAAGCCCAAGGGATACACCCTCGCCCAGAAGATGGTGGGACGGGCCATCGGCCTCAAGGAGGGAGAGGGCGTCGTTCCGGAACAGTACTGCGAACCCAAGATGACGACCGTCGGGTCCCAGGACACCACCGGTCCCATGACGAGGGACGAGCTCAAGTCCCTGGCCTGCCTCGGATTCTCGGCCGACCTGGTCATGCAGTCCTTTTGCCACACGGCCGCCTACCCCAAACCCGTCGACGTCGTCACGCACCACACACTTCCAGACTTTATCATGAACCGCGGCGGGGTCTCCCTCCGGCCCGGAGACGGGATCATCCACTCCTGGCTGAACCGGATGCTCATCCCCGACACGGTCGGAACCGGTGGGGACTCGCACACCCGCTTCCCCATTGGGATTTCCTTCCCCGCCGGTTCCGGCCTGGTCGCCTTTGGCGCCGCCACCGGAACCATGCCCCTGGACATGCCCGAGAGCGTCCTCGTCCGCTTCAAGGGAGAGATGCAACCCGGAATCACCCTGCGCGACCTGGTCCAGGCCATCCCCTACACGGCCGAGAAAATGGGCCTCCTGACCACGGAAAAGAAGGGAAAGAAAAACATCTTCTCGGGACGCATCCTGGAGATCGAGGGAGACGTCGTCAACAACCTCAAGTGCGAGCAGGCCTTTGAGCTGAGCGACGCCAGTGCCGAGCGATCCGCCGCCGGCTGCACAATCAAGCTGGACAAGGAACCCATCATCGAGTACCTGAACTCCAACATTGTCATGCTCAAGTGGATGATCTCGGAGGGATACGGCGACGCCCGCACGCTGGAACGCCGCATCGCCCGCATGGAGGACTGGCTGGCCAACCCCGTGCTGATGGAGGCCGACGAGCAGGCCGAGTACACGGAGATCATCGAGATCGATCTCAACGAGCTCAAGGAACCCGTCCTGGCCCTCCCCAACGACCCCGACGCCAGCGCCCTGCTCAGCGACGTGGCCGGAACCAAGGTCGACGAGGTCTTTATCGGATCCTGCATGACCAACATTGGCCACTTCCGGGCCGCCGGAAAGCTCCTGGCCGACGCGGCAAAGCCGATCCCCACCCGTTTGTGGGTCGCCCCGCCGACCAAGATGGACGAGGCCCAGCTCACCGAGGAGGGCTACTACAGCACCTTTGGCGTCGCCGGGGCCCGGACCGAGATGCCCGGGTGCAGTTTGTGCATGGGCAACCAAGCCCGCGTCGCCCCCGGCTGCACGACGGTGTCCACCAGCACGCGAAACTTCCCCAACCGCCTGGGACAGGGCGCGAACGTCTTTTTGTCCAGTGCCGAGCTGGCCGCCATTTCGTCCATCGAGGGCGAGCTCCCCTCGGTCGAGACCTACATGAAGTACATGGAGCAGATCGATCCGACCGACGAAAACATCTACCGCTACCTCAACTTTGACGAGCTTCCCGACTTTGTCAAGAGCGCCGACGCCGTCGAGATCAGCGAAGAAATGAAGAAGGCAGCGAAGGAACTCGATCTAGCCTAGGCGTCACGAACCATCTTGTCCGGAGTTTTTGGCGTTGTTTATGAAATAAAGAATACTATCATTTTTCCTTCTATATTTTGTTTTGTGAAGTGATCTAGCGGTATTTTTTATGTATAGTTTTTCTTCTATGATCTATTGCAATAGTGGCTCGATTGGTTTGTTATGGGTTAACAAACTGGTGTCGTCAGAAAAGCCCCACGGTTCGTTTTGTTAGACGGCAAAGATCGCGTCCGATATCAGCCTCCTCGAGCTGATGGACGCGATTCTCTGGATGCTTCTGGCGCTATCGCCCAGCGCGGATGCGGCCATCGATTTGCGGCGGCAAGCCCCGGGACCGCTGGTGGCGATCGGGGGTAGAGAGGCACCAATCGGTGCCGTTGCGGCCGGTTCGTTGTGCAACTCCTTGGCCGCCGCCTGGTCCCGCAGGCCAACCATGTTTGCCGCGAACGAGCTGCATTCTGTGCATTCGTAGTACTCGTCCGCGATCCGGTCGGCGTCTACCAGCCCCCACTTCCGCTGGCGGCTTTGCTCGCGGAGGACTGCATTTCTGGCGATGGCCTTGGTCCTCCGCCTCGTCTTCAGCCCCGAGAGCGTTCTCCCCTCGAGACCGCGGAGGCAATCGCTGGTTTCGTCGTTGCCGTCGTCCGTTGTCGTCGCCACCGAGAGCTTGATCGCGAGCATTTTGCTGGATTTCTTGATTTCTCGGAGCTCGCTCGTGCTGTACCACGTGTTTTGCATTTCTTCCGCCGTGAAATCTATTCGGTGAAGCGTACGCTGGGCAAATACTTTTGGGAAAAACGAAACGTTCTTCCTTTTTCTTGGCATTCTTTTGGTGGTTACGATAGGGCTAAATTCCATTGGAAATGGGACGGCATCGGGGCGATGGGTGGTATCGATCATCATCGTGAATTATTCTGTGGAGAGGAGGAGATGTGATTGTATGTGCGTGCGTGCAAAGGGTGCTTTGGTCCTTTATCTTTTGTTCAGATAGGTATGGTACTATTCGCAGATTATTTTTTGTGATCGAAGCAAAACAAAATTCTTTTCTTGTAGTTGTTGAGCAGTACACGGTGGTTCCGTACGATTATTGGTAGGCAGGTGAAATACGGTACACATACCGATCGATTTTCGTTCTACCATGAATCGTGCGCCAGTGCAAGATCACGCAAATAACCTAGCATGCGAGTTTTCAATCTTGTTACTTCTCGTGCGTCCATTTTGTATTGCCCCTTTCATTCGTGGCAATCGAGCCTGGATCGCTAACTGTCTTGATGGGACCGCTCGGGCATGACGGATTTTGCACAAACAAATAATACTACGCGTAAAATAACAATTGAAACACCGTTAATTAGGGGGTTGGGAACGTTAATTTAACGTTCCGAATGTTAGCGTTAACATTCCGAATGTTAGTGTTAACATCCCGGACGTTAGTGAAGTAGCCCTAAGTAGAATATTTACTGTACCCGTTGGTGGCACGCCGGCAGGCCCACCAGCTGCTGATCCAGCTGCTCAGGGAGGACCAGGATCAGTCTATTTGGATGGATCCTAGTACAAAGCTGTGTAGAAAATCGTGTAGAAAATCGTGGATCAAGGTACTTGCCTTGCCATTTTGGTCAAAATAGAAGGGTTTTGATCACGCGTTCAAAATTGTACCGTGTCCTACTGTCTTGACCTCTACCTGCCTCCAGCGTGCTGATCCAGCGTGCTGATTCCAGTGAACTAAACTGTTCTTTTCATTCTATCGAAAAACTCCCCGGTTCAAGCAACCGACCATGGGAATTGCTCCATTTCAAGCACTTCCACTCAACCTTTCTTACTTTACTTGGTATCAATCGTTAGCTCTCTTTCATTGTCGATTGAACACTGCTTGAACCATAGAAAACAAGCCAGTGTAACAGATTTTATTGCGTGTTCAGTGTAGCTTCTTTTTTTACGACGCCTTGCTTCTTCCGACGTCGGCAAGCAGCAGTATGAGCAGGAACGATCCAGCGGATGAGGTTGCAAGGATCAGAGCCAATGCTGGCCTATCAAGACTAACACAACAAGAAAGAGCTGAACGGCCTCATCCTTCTAGGGGAGGGAGTGAAGGCTATCCTGTCTTCTTTAGGGAGCAGGAACTGGAAAGGAAGGCTGCTGGTCTTCCTACTACTGCCAGTAAGGCGTCTCTTTCCAGATGGAGTAGACGCGTTGATCCATACAGAAAGACAGGCAATAGGAGCCAGGCAAAACTGGTGGGGAAGGATCTCTTTAACATGGTTGTGTTTGTTTGGATCTATCCAGATGCAACCAATGATGAGATCGCTACTCATATTTTCAACATGGGAGGACCAATCTACTCTAATCAGCTAATCAGCAGAAGGTTGAACAAGATGGAGCTTACAAGGAAGAGCGCGTCGAAGGAAGCCTATCAAGCGTTCTCCCCAGAGAGTATGTGGAGGTCCAAGATCTTCTGGACCAAGCCCCCTCCTCTTGGAGTGGTTGGAGTTCCTAGGAGGAGATTCATTGATGTGGATGAGTTTGGGATGGATATGACCAAGACCAGCAAGKGGAAGAAAGGAATCGCGCTGAAGTGTTTCAGGGCACGGATCCCTGGAGCTTATCAGAGGACCCAAAAGCTCACCATCATCCTTGCTGTAGAGGCAGGGGATCCAAGACTCCCCCCAGCGACTAGGGGAAGTATCCAGAATCCAAGGAGGTGGATCAATGTCATTCAGCAAGTGGGGACCTCTGCTACAGTCTTTGCTCGCTTTATTGATAGGATCTGCAAGGACATTGAGGCGAATCCAGTCCCTGGTGATACTGATGAGGAGAGGATCTTCCTGTGGGACAATCTTGGCTCTCACCTATCCACTTTGGTTGGCTTGAAGGTTGCCATTAGACCTGATCCTAAACCAACTCTATTCAGGTCTATTCCGAGGCCTCCATACCAGCCAAAGTATGGACCAGTTGAATTCAAGATCTGTGATCTTGTCTCAGCAGTATCCAGGGAGGCGCGTCCTAATTGGACCACCAGTGATCTTGAAGCAGCGATTTACAGGGAAGCTGGCAGGTCCATTAAAGGGGTTGATGCTACCTTTGATCACTGTGGATACAGTCTGGATGGAAACTATGACGATTAGGCAACAGCAACAACAGTGGCGCGTTGATCTCCAGCACGTGAGCTGGATTCAGTGAGTAGGCGCAATGGACTGGAGGAATCCCCTGGAGCGTGGCTTGCCAGCGTGGCGACTCATCCTGGGCCTGTGGAAACTGATTCCTATTGGACAGGCTTGATTCCAGTCCCCTGGAGGAGCTTCCTTGGAAGCTCAATCGATTCGGATGAACGCGAATCGACTAGATTGATTGAATACAGTTACAGTCGGTTGAATCGATTGAATACAGCAGTCGGTTGAATCGATTGACTATACTTAAGATTAAGAGGGATGGATCCAACGCGTGGTCCTTCCTCTATATAGCAGTACTATTTGTAAACACTTTATCTTTAGTAGGAATGATATCTACCAAGAGTAGTTGCAATAGACTTGAGCAATACCCCAAGGACCAGCGAGCCGCGCCTTTGAGCTGTCCTGGGCGCGTTTGGAATCTATGGCGTCTCGTATCTACTAACTTTGTTGCTGGAGGAACTGCTGTTTCCACTTCCACCACTACCAAAGCTGCTCATACTATCATCACTCCTCTTCATCTTCCTCTGAGCCTCGTATTCYTCCTTGCGTTGTTTCAAATACTTAGCTCTGTTCTGCTCAAACATCTCCTTTGYCCTTTTCTCCTGTGCTGCAACCCTAGCTGCTTCCGCTTTCTTKGCTGCTTCCTTKGCTGCTTTCTTTGCTKCCATCGCCGCTTTCTTTGCTTCCCTTGCTGCTTTCTTTTCTTCCTTGGTTGGTTCCTTTGCTACTGCTACTCTTTTTGCCACGCGTTTTACTTTCTTTCTTGGAGGACGCTTGTTCCCTGCACCTGGAGGAGGCTTCTCCAACCMTGTACCTGGAGGAAGCTTTAGATGAGGGTTCTTCCTTGCTGCAACACCAGACGCCCCAACACCAGCTGATTGCCATCTAGTACTACTAGGCAATCTAGTATCCAGCATCGATTCGGCTGGTGCTACTGGCATCCGAGCTGGCAACTGAGCAGCTGGCAACTGAGCAACCGACATACGAGCTGGAAACTGAGCAGCTGGCAACCGAGCAGCTGGCAACTGAGCAACCGACATACGAGCTGGAAACTGAGCAGCTGGCAACCGAGCAGCTGGCAACTGAGCAACAGACATACGAGCAACACCAGCGGCTTGCATTCTAGCAGCGCCAGTGGCTGGCAATCTAGCAGCAGCAACAGCTGGCAACTGAGCAGTCGGCACACGCGGCATCCCAGCTTGCATTCTATCACTGGCAGCATTCCTCTTCAAAGCCTTAATCAAGCCCTCAATAGTTGCCACTATCTCACCATTAAACAGATGCCTAAAATCATGTATCCAAGTCATCAGTTGTTCAACCTCCTGCATCTCAGCACCAGCAGAGGAAGATGAAAGCAATGTATTGATTCGATGTAAAGCAGAACGTGTTGTAGGAGTATCTTCCACACCAGCACCAGGATCAGTCAAACGCATGAGGATTCGTTGTCTCAGCTTTACATGAAAGGGTTGGGTCTCTTCATCAGTGTGAGGAGTGCAATGTGGATGAATGGTTCTTCTAGTAGCAACAGCAGGCGTGTACTCGTCCTCCTCATCCTCACTACTGCTTGATTCAGCAGCAATATCAACGACACGATCCTGGCCAGCAGCAGCTCTTAGACGCAAGGCAAGAGGATCATACCTCGCTGGCAATCTAGTAACGCCCCTCTCGCCACCAAGATCATTCCTGTGCCCCCTATCACTGTAGTTTCGATTGCTGTAGTGTCTTGCATTCCTCCTCTCACTAGCTGAAAAAGAGACTGGCCGAGGCTCTTGAAAAGGGGCACGCTGCTGCTGAGCCTGTCCCCTCTGCTGAGCCTGTCCCCTCTGCTGAGCCGCGACTGGTCCCCTCTGCTGAGCCGCGACTGGTCCCCTCTGCTGAGCCGGCCCCCTCCTTTCTGGAATAATACCATCTCTAAGCTGGTTAACACCAAGCCCATCGACCCTAGTTCTAATCCCCCTTGGGACCCTCTTTTGAATACTGTTCCTCAAAGCCACATCAGACTGAAAKTGAATGTCAGTCTTAGTGTAATCAGCTGCATGTCCATAGGCGTCTTGCTCAAACTGAGCACTACTTCTCAAAGGCTGACAGTTATCCAGCTGGGCATCGAAGCTTCCTCTATGGACATGCCTATATAGTGAGTCGTGTAGCTTCCCCAGGGGGTTCCCTGAATAGTTGTCCTGCTCATCTTGCTGGGGACCACTGCGAAGCCTCTCTTCATTCTTATCAATATTGAACCTGTCAGTTAGATAGAAATAGATTGAGCACTGGCAGTTGCAAAGGGGACAGCTGCAAGCCACTGGCACGCCATTCTCATACTCAAGATAGTCAGCGCCTGGCTTGCTGCACTCCGGACACGTCCCCCCCCTTGGATCTAGGTTACAGTTGAACTTGCAACAGTAACAAGCCATCCTTACATCCAAAATACCCTTGAGCCTTGGACGCCCCTTCTTATCTCTATTCACTGCATCGTGGGCGGCTACAGCAGTATCATGCTCCTTCTCCATCCTCAAGTTGTGCTTTTCAACCTCCCTCAAATCATCAATTGGCATGATGGAATAGTGGTCACAGATAGGACACTCAAACCTATCCAGCTTGGCTGGATCAAAGTCCCAATCATCCTGTAAACGCGAGGCTGCTCCCTTCTGCCAGTAGACCTTGCCTTTCTTGTGCTTGGATCCTTTCAGTCTGTTGCTGGTTTCTTCTGCTTTCATTGCCTCCTTTACTGCTTCAGCAACATCCTCAAGCACGTCTGCAGCTGCACGTGTCCTTCTGCTTKSYCTTTTYTGTTGGTCRCTCCTCTCCTTCCTGATCTCCATCCCTGTAAAGAATTTGGCAAGCAATGTAGCTGAATAGGCCAGGCTCCAGTGTTTCTTGATCATGTGCTGAGTGCTTCCTGTCATRGTTACATCATGATACACCCTCTGCATCTCATGGGACAGGGCGTCTCCCCCAGGAAAGACAGCTTTGATGAGGTCTTGGTTGAGCTTGTCCCTAATCCGAACCAGCAAATCTTTCTTTTCTTTCAGTGAAAGGTACTTCCTCTTGGCCAGTGTAGCCTGTGCTGTCTCGAACAAAGGATGGGATGCTGCTGGTTGTATTGGTGGAGCAGGAGGTGGTAGTGGTGGCGCGGCTGGAGGAGGAGGGGGGGGAGGATCAGGAGCAGGGGGGACAACAGCTTCCTCTTGATGAAAATCCTCTTCAGATGAATCATCTGAGAGTAATGCATCAGCATGGCCTCCTAGAGATCTATTCAGTTGTAGGAGACTATCCCCGGCTTCTCTCTCCTGTGTATTCATCCTATCTGCTGGATCGTTGCTCATACTGCTGCTTGCCGACGTCGAAAGAAGCAAGTTGTCGTAAAAAGAAGCAAGCTACTGTAACACACTAAAACAATACTTCTACTGGGTCCTTTTCTATGGTTAAGGGCTTGTTCAATCGACAATTGAAGAGATCTATCGATTGATACCAAGTAAAGTAAGAAAGGTTGAGTGGAAGTGCTTGAAATGGAGCGATTCCCATGGTCGGTTGCTTGAACCAAGTAGTTTTCTTTAGAATGAAAAGAACTGTTCTAAAGCGTGCTGGATCAGCGTGCTGGAATCAGCACGCTGGAGGTAGGTAAAGGTCAAGACAGTAGGACACGGTACAATTTTGAACGCGTGATCAAAACCCTTCTATTTTGACCAAAATGGCAAGGCAAGTACCTTGATCCACGATTTTCTACACGATTTTCTACACAGCTTTGTACTAGGATCCATCCAAAAGACCAATCTCAGTTGCATCTTGGAAGCTGCTGAACAGCTGGTGGGCCTGCCGGCCTGTCCCCCACCGGTTTTAGTACAGATTGTACGTAGGGCTACTTCACTAACGTCCGGGATGTTAACACTAACATTCGGAATGTTAACGCTAATATTCGGAACGTTAAATTAACGTTCCGAACCCCTTAATTAACGGTGTTTCAATTGTTATTTTACGCGTAGTACGTGGGTCATCTAGGGAACCGGGGTGCAGATTTAAATTTTAACACGAAGAATCTACCGTGGGTTACATGTACTGGTACGAGTACTCGTACTATTACTTCGCGCGAGCATAATTCTAGATGCCATTCGAAGTACCTCCGATGAACTATTTTCCTTAATTCTATTTTGAACAGCATACGTCTAACGTGTTTCGGTCATTCCTGTACATAAATCTAGTGTTTCTATTCATTTTAGCACTTCAAACATATTTTCACCACCAAAAATCTAAATCATCACCGTGCCGTTCTCAGAGGAGGGCATACAAGTTCGGTTATTATTTATTCTGTAGGTTGAACGACATGATATTTATGAATCATTTCGATTTGCAAAAATGAAACTGTTCTTTTAATGAATCTGCTTCGTTTTTGCTACTAAATGTATGTCTGTGGATGACAATTAGTCTCCTACACATAGTTGCGAAACAACTCCCAATTTCCTCAGTACATTTGGGATGAGTTGTGACAACACTTGATGCCTGCAATTGTGACACAAGAAAATAGTATGTGTTTCTGAGATGAGTGTTGCAAAGGACGGCCATTTCCTTTTTAGTAGTTTTGAGCAAAAATGTTTTATTCCCTACCAAAAGAAAAGAGGAGGCTGAGAACACAACTGAGGAGTGACCCATGAATCCAGAATTTATTCAGGCAATAATATGGTTGCGCCCATATGTAAACTTGGAGGGGAAAAGGCTCATAAAAAGCTACTTCACTTCGCAGACTGTAGCTCTTGTTCTAAGCAAAAATAGAAGTAACTTTCGTAGTACCATCAGTAGCAGATAGGACCAGGCAGGGCCGGCAAGAAAGCTAGTCATTTTTCTAGTACTCATGATGTGGTACAGGACCACCAACCCTGAAGGAACCTATTTGTACGTACAAAACTGCTTTTTGGTGCAAAACAGAGGCGCTGCTTAAAATAAGTGCACCACAGCACTGTACCCTCCCGCCAGGTGATGTTTGATACAAGAGCAATCATTTTAAACTACTGCATTACATTTACATGTAGTATTATTTACAGATTATTACTATTTTGAATTTCATGGCTTGATATGATAGGACATGAAGGTATCACATAAAATTATAAATCAAAACAGATTAAACGATCTGCTTTTTCTTTCGACCAAATGGACCTCGAGATCTTGATCTGGCTTTCCTTGCTCGTTCTGATGAAAAGGAGTCGTCTGACAATGAATCAGTATGCGACACATCTAATGCAATAAGTTTTTCAGCAAGTCTGTTTACCAACAAAAGAGGATCTTTTCCTCTCTTAATGCCGCCCTTGATCTCGTGACCAATATCTGAAACCTGCCCAAGCAGTTTTTCTAGATGGTCAACACGCTTTGTCATAGCATCCAACTTTGTTTCCGAAATTCCAGTTTGTCCAGACTTTTCCTTCACCTTGTCATGCTCTTCCTTGAATTTCTTCAGGATATGGATAATGGGTTCCATTTTAGAATTTTCAATAGATGATGCTTCTGCGAGTGGAGTATATCCGAAACCATTCTTTACGTTGATACTTTCGGGGAAAGCTGCCAGCAAGATCGTGACAACCTCTGGAGTTGATCCATTTTGACAGGCATAATGAATTGGAAGCTTGTCTTGATCATCTTTGATTTGAGCGGCTCTAGGGTAGACGCGAAGTAACATTCGAACGATACGATCTGACAGTGACTTCCTACAGGCATGGTGAAGAGGGAGGCGACCTTGGTCATCTTTCGACTGTGCACCCTTTCCAGATGCTTTCAATAAAGCGCTGATAACTCCCTCGGGGGCTCCTTTCGAACAAGCATGATGGATAGGAAGACGTCCTTCGTCGTCTTTGCTCATCGCCCCCTTGGGATAGTTTCCGAGCAAAATGTCTACCACTTCCTGTGAAGCACTCTTGAGGCATGCGTAGTGGATTGGCAGGCGACCTTCGTCATCTTTTAATTGGGATCCTTTAGGATGGAATTCAAGAAGAGTTGTAATCACTTTCCCACATGCACCGTAGAAGCAAGCACAGTGGATTGGGAGCCAGCCATCTTGATCTCTGCATTTTGAGCCTTCAGGGTATGCCTCTAGGAGTTTCTCAACGACTTCTCCAGGAGGAGACAAGACGCACGCTTTGTGCAGTGGAAGGAACCGAAGGTTTCCGTTGAATCCCTTCGTCACAATCCATGTCGCAGCCTCTTCAGGATTAGACTCTGCTCGTTGAATAGCGCCATTCCAGTCCTTTTTCAGAAGCAAGCGAAACAAAACTGTACGGTTTTCATAGTCCACTTCGTTAGCCTGTGAAACAGAACCACCATCTGGAATCATATTTACTATCTTCATCTTCGAATTCTTCTGGAATTGCTGCTCAAAATTGCGGATCGCGGCGCAGACTGCTTCGGCATTTTGCGACTCGCTTTTCTGAACAAGCGCGAGCGGTGTTCTACCCTTTTTGTCTTTAACTTTGCATGAGTCAGGAAAACCGTTTAAAAGTGCCAAAATAACACCCTTCGATCCGCCATTTCTGCAGGCAAGATGAATGGGAAGCATTCCCTGGTCATCCTTCATTTGTGGACCATCGCGATAGAGTTCAATCAAACCTTCAATCAACCCAAGAGGAGCGCGGAAAATACAAGTTGCATGAATCGGTAAAAGTCTCCATCTAATTTTGTTGGAACCTAGTTCTTTTCGATAAATCCAAGTCTTGGCCTCGAAAGGGTGTGACTCAAGGCGAAGACTTGCACCTTCCCAATCTTTTTCTTCAATCCGTCGGTAGAGTTCTGTGGGACCTTCATCATAATCGACCTCGGGCTCATCATGATAACGTGAAACAGTGGTGATGGAATGAGTCGACGGAGCGACACTGTACGCATCTCCAATTCCAGAATTTTGTCTCGTGACTGACGGAGGCTCCAACTCCTGGCGTGGGGTGCCGCAGAAAAAGGAAGACACCATTTTGGTATCAGTAATTGCTTTTTGATGGGTTTTATTATTATCTCACGTCAGTTTCAGATGATTGATAAAAACGAGTGGGTGAGAAGGTAGTTGTTCTCCTCTCTTTTCATTGTGCCGACGTTCAACGCAACATGGCGAATTTTTCAGGTTTAGCGATCGTTCTAAATTCTAGCGATGAAACTTTGTGACAATCAATTCAATTTTGAAGGTCCGCAGGCGCGCGGACGCCGTATGCACAGCATACTTCAGTAATGATTATCTGAATAATAATACATACGAGTAAGTGTTTGTACATACGGTACGTACCGTACTCGCGTAAGAAGGAAAAAAACTCTGCGAGTCTACGCGGCGACGAAACTGCAAATTTGCAATTAAGTACAAATTTAGTCCCTTACGTGTAAAATGCATGTAATACTGCACAATCTACAGTGCAAACTTAATTGTGGTGTAAAAAAGCATCTAAGCATCCAATTAAGACCTAGTTTTTTTGTAGAATTTATCTTGACATCCTAATGAACATGTTGGGTTCAGTGGGTAGTTGGGTCATACAATTTTTATGCTGAAACTACTGGTATAAGTAGGAGGTCCTAGTAGTAGTACTACTACTATGTCACAGTACTAGTAGTAATAGTACTACTAGTAGTGCTAGTAGCAAGAGTATTACTACTACAACAACAACTAGTACCATATAGCTTGGTTTCTAGTGATAATGACGAGGAATATGTGATAATAGCTACTACTAGTACTAGTACTAATATTAATAGTACTAGTACTACTACTAGTAGTAGGAGTACTACTAGTAATAGTTGGTAATAGTATAAATAGTAGTACTAGTAGTATTGTTTAGTAGTACTACTAGTAGTTAGTATTATCCATTATATTTCAACTCCCATTCACCACCAGTTGGATTTTGAGTGATAGTGTCTGATGGTTTGAGAGCAAGAATAGCATATACTGCTTCTTCAAACAAGAGATAACATAGATGTCTGTATTTCCTGTTTGCCAAACTGTCCTTATAGGACGAGCTCTTCCATGGCCACATTCTGAGCTGTTTCTCTTCTTCCTCAGACCAATCAAAAAGTGACAAGATCTCATCCCTATTGTTCCTAGTACTATCCATACCTATCCCAACTCTCTGATCATGGATAGTACTACTATCTTGTTGGAACACCCCTTTCCTCCCTTCCACCTCTTGGGAAATGCTCCTGTCTGGGTACCACTGGTAAAGTCTCCTTTGCTGAGATAGAGTCTTCCTAAAAAAGAATCTACTTAGACTGAGATTAAGCCTACCTTCCTTGCTGTTTCAAAATTTTTGATTCCCGATATTAGTAAAAATGCAAAATGCAAAATGCAAAATCTAGCGGTTTAGCATTTCTATTCACGGAAATCACCCAATAGCTCTAGTAGGGTATGCAGGGTACTGTGGGGGTATCAGACCATAATGCAACTAATTTTGCAACAGTAGAGAATCATGTACAAGTCTATGTACGTACACTTTGCTATTATCCTACTGACCACCACAGTATCGAAAACCCTCAACTGATGGGTGTCAGTTGAGAAGAATTATTCTCACAATTTTCGACAAGACAATTTCCGTAGAATTTTCACAGAAAAAAAAGCAAGTCGTGAAGGTAATTCTCAACAACCGATGATCATGACAATGGGATGGACATCTTCTTATCAGCTATTCAACTTGCTCCTCTTGTTGAGGATAACACACAGCAAAAGCAGTCACACTTACTACTAACAATACTACTAACAAGAAAAAGCAGKCACAGTTAACATACTATTTTAATGAAGAAACGAATCGAAGCAAAGCAACCGAAGCAAAGCAACCAAAGCAACAAATTGAAGCAACCGAATTGAAGCAACGCAGCAACAAATCAAAGCAACCAAAGCAATCAAAGCAACCAAAGCAACGAATCGAATCAAAGCAACCAAAGCAATCAAAGCAATGCAGCAATGCAGCAACGAATCGAAGCAACCMGAAGCAATCAAAGCGATCGAACCAATTGAAGCAACAAATTGAATCAAAGCAATGGAAGCAATGGAAGCAATGAATCAAAGCAACGAATTGAAGCAACCAAAGCAATGCAGCAATGCAGCAACGAATCGAAGCAACGAATCGAAGCAACGCAGCAATCAACCAATCAAAGCAACGCGGCAATCAACCACCCAGCTACCTCAACTGTGCATGTGCACCTTGCCTCTCATGCTTGGCAAGAGCCTTCAGGATACCTCCTGTTACAGTCTTCTCCTGTCTATAAACACTGTAGACTTCGTGGATGGCATCATGCGCAGTCGCTGATCTGGTCCTTATCACCCTTTCAATACACAACCAAAAGGAGGGCTTCCTTCTGCAGTATACAAACTTGTTTTCCTTGTTGGAGTTCCTTTCAGATGCAGTGAAGTTCTTTGCTGCTTTGTTCCCTGCAAATCCAGACTCCCATTCATTCCAGATGTCAAATAAGTTGGCAGGATTCTTCTGTAGGATCACCTTTTCCTCATGTTGACCAGCAGCAGTAGCTTCTCCTGGATTAACAAGATGTTGTCTCACCATCCTTCTTGCTACTGGTGCCATGGCAGCTCAATTACAAGCAGCTTGAAGCCTCTTGTTTCTATCCTTTTGTAATGCAAATTCTTTTACCAGCAGGTTCTCCATGTTGGACATCCTTCCTTGTAAATCACATATCTTTGCATACATTACATTCATCCACTGTTGATGCGACCTCCTCATTCCCATTCTGGACAAAGGCCACAAGAATTCTGATTCATTGATCCCATCAAGATCTGATCAGGACAGTCTCTGTCCTCTCTCACATTTTTCGACCACTTCATCTTCAAAGTCAAAAATTCAGGGAATCTAGAGCAAACCTTTAAAGAATCCTTCGTTATGTGAGCCATGTCATTGTTTTGGCCCATGAAATGCATTTGAGTCAACAACATTGCTTTAAATCTTCGCCTGTTTATCATACTACCGTTTTGTTCCAAAAGTTCCAGCATTTGAAAGAATTCATCCTTTGTAAGAGCCCTATCCATCTGCGACGGCTTCTCCAAACCTCGTGTCTCTTTCAGCTTGATTGCTGCAATTAAATTATTCACTTTGGGAGATTCTGTTGGATTACCATGGCCAATTCCTTGAATAACTGTCCACTTGATACTCTTGTTAGGAACAAAATAGGAAATAGACTTCTTTGTATATTCTATAGTATTTGATCTAGCATAAATAGGGTTGTCATCAGGAGACGGATCTTCCTTCTTGTAAGCCTGCAGAGCAATGAAACAATACACATGATCAGGAGTGAGGCTGCCAAGCTCACCATCAGTAAACACATGATCCCTAGCAAATCTTGTATCTTCAGTGGCAGGATTATCACTTCTTCCATCATGTCTTCCATGTACAAAATCCATGAAACAAAGGAATATTTTCCAGTAATCAGGCCACTGGTCAGGAACATTCACCGCCCGGAGGAGGTTTAGGAGGACCTCCTCTACAAGGCCTTGCTTGTCTCGTAGTACTAGTAGTGCTCGCAGCATTGTCATCGTCATTGTTATCACCATCGTCGTTGTTTTTGCCACCAGCAACGAAAAACTCATCCTCATTATTAGTCCTATTACTGTTGCTGGCAGGGACCTCTTCCTCTTTAGTCTCCTGATTGTTATTACCAGCAACACTGTTTTCTTCTGAATCATCCATTACTCTAATGATCTCAGTCAATGCAGCAGTATCTTGTTCTTCTTGCTGTTGTGCACATCCTCCTCCTCCTTGTTGTCCGCGTCCTCCACAACCACGACCACGTCCGCGTCCTCCACGACCAGGTCCGAGTAATCCTGGTGTTGTGTGCTGCTGTTCCTCTTGTCGTCCTCCCTGTCCGCGTTCTTGTTGTTCTTGTTCTTCCCGGTTTCTTGCTTCTTCTTGTTCTTCTTCCTCCAATGCTACTTCGCATGCAATTCTAAACAAGTTGGGGGGGGGAGAACCATCTCTGTGCCTCCGCGTCCGCTTCCGCGTTGTTGCTGAATTTGTACTGGTGGTGGTAAGGTGGTGGTGAGGACATGATGATTTTGGTAGTAGTTTCTTGCTGCAAAAATACTACTGTAGCTACTAATTTTGTTGGCGTAAAGAATTTGTGAGCAGTTTTGATTGCGGAAGAATTGAGTTTGCACCTCTGTGATGTCGGAAGAAGTGATTGTTGCATTGTTGCACTGTCTACGTATTTTCAAAAGCCGAGAATGCACCTCAGAGGCTACTGCGACTGTTACAACGAGGTATTGTTTTCACTACTTCAGTAGTAAATAAGCACACAAAAAAGTCATTACAGTTGCGAAAAGAGGGGTATGAGTTACAGTAGGTGAGTATTTGGGTCATAGGCGTATTTAGTAAGAAAATTCGTGGCCGTGGAGGCAATTATGATACAGTAATGCAATTTTAGTTGCAAAATACCGGTACCGAATCAATATTGAATGAAAACCGTTTTTGGTGTTATTCGTTTGAAAGTCGAGTACATTAAACAATACAAGCAAACCATGAAAACGTTTTTTCCTCAATTACTGTATTGTCATGAGATTTGCTACTGGATTTTTTTTTCCTGCTTTCGATATGTTCCAGCAAGCAATCACTTTGCACGTACCGGTAGTGATGTCCCGTACGATACGTTTTTGGTCCCAAATGGACTCAGAATGACTCACTCCTTCTAGATTTTCTATTGTGGAAATCGTGCAAGACTTGTAGAATTAACGATTCGAAAAGTCACGATCAATAAGTAAAAACAAATGTGTTCTTCTTTTCGAACCACGTTGGTCTGATGGCACTATTTCGGTGTCAAGTTCCTTTCTGCGTCTCTGCTTTCATCAAGACAGAAGAAACAAAGTGCGTGGTTTTGCATCACAAACCTTACTTAACGCAATGTTTATCATAGTTCTTCTTGTTCTTTGCAGCATCCAACCATTTTCTTTCATGACAGCCAGATGCTCTTGATGGCAGAAAACTTAATGGATGGTGATGCACAACAAAGAAAAACATACCTCTTGCCGTACAGTACTCGTACGTACGTCCTACTCCAACTTCGGAACAACAGCCGAAAGTGTAAAATGCTTTTGAAGCAGTTCATTAGCAAGTGATCACTCTGATTGCAAGCAAAGAGCTGCCTTCCCATATGGCAATCAAGGCTAGAAGTGGTGCTTTGATGCAACTTCCATTCCAAGCGCAGCATACATCTTGAGTTCTTCAGCGTCATGATTGCATCAGATGCTGCGGCTGTGGACAATTGCCGCGCAATCGATGGTGACGGCAATAGCTATTATGAACAAATTTCAAAGAAAAGAAATTTAAATAACACCAACGCAAGACTTGCCTCTCGACTTTCAACGTCAGTCACTTCGGCAACATCTCTTTCTCTATCGGATACAACCGATGATGATGAGTTCAGATTGCCCAAACGAGTTGTCGCCCTGAACATTGTGCGCCCTGTTCCGAAACGAATTAGCGAGCAATTTTATGATGATGCCTATCGAAAGGGATTTACTCTTCGTGAAACGAACCAAGCGGCCATGATGGCACACGATTGGAACAGGAAGTGGAGAGATCAAGACGAAACATATCACACGATGCCGGAGGAAGATTTCTATCGCTCGTCAGCAGCAGTTGTCCCCGCAAGCTATTGCCATGGGGTGTTTTCCGATTTGGATTACAAGGGTGGTCCTCCTGCCTATACTGATGCCGATATTGACATCGATCAACACCAGGTAGCGAATGGTTTGCTTCTCCTTTTGGAACGCGAAGAGGGAGCCAAAAATCCTTCGCTTGGAAGTCCTGAAGAAGGAAAGAGAAAGAGGTATTCCTCCCGGACTGCCGAAGTTAGACTGAGCCGGCATCATTCTATAACTGAACAACAGAAACAACACAACCAACCTAGTCTGGAACAGTGGCAACTCGGAGCCTTCAACAAAACCATACCAAACTCTGCACACAAAGGAACGAATGTAATATCGTCTACCGAAGCTTCTACGTGGGGTGATTCAAGCATGAACACCATTGAACCCAACGGTTGCGAGAGATGCCACAGCAACGCTACAGAAGAGAAGCAAGATAATGAAATCTTTAGCGAATTCTGCGAACTCGAGCAAGATGATAAAACTGATAACGAGCCTGGCCACAATCAAAAGGCTTTGGGCATTCAACGTCCCTTACCCCTGCGCCCAATGCCCATTAGACCATTAGCCATTCGTGCCAATCGGTCCAGACACATTGTCCCACAGCCAACGTATGCGAAGCTGTCACCGTTCGCGCAGGAGAGTCGGAACGGAAGTACGGGAAGGGGAATCCCTCGAGGTATTGTGATGAGTCACAGTAACAGGGCCGAAGGTGTATCTCCCATGAGCTTTTCTCAACTGACTGGATCGTCACCCATGTCATCAGGGAGTGAGATGATGGGCGTAACCGTGATTAATAGTGACCACGAAAACCTGCACTATGTAGAAGACGACGATTTATTCGACATTGCCAAGGATTCCGCTATTCAACCTGTTAATATGATTGAAAAGGCTCGTGATGATATTCTTCGAGTTCTCGCCATCAGTGATGGGGATTCAGAATCAGAAGACTTCAAGAAGAAGGTTGATCCTCTTGAGAAACATTTTCTTGGACGAGAAATCGATACGAGAGCAATCTCAGTTCCTTCAAATAGAGGAACTCTCGCCTCGTCTGCATCTGCCTCTTCTGCTGCTGAATCTATCAACGGGATGTGGCTAACTCTTTCGAAGCCTAATTTCTTTGGAAAGCTTGGACAAAACGATAATGGAGATCCAATGTACACTCTTGGCCGTATGTCATTTGACATGTTCTCCCCAACAAATCTCGTTTGCAGTCTCCAGGGTAATTTCAACCACGTTGAGATTGTCGATGAAGGAGACCGTAAGGCTATGCTTGAAAAAGTTCCAAAGAAACTACGAGAGGAAGTGGAGAGTGGAAAGACTACCCTACGTACGTACCATGTGGTAACCGCATTTACTATCGAACCCTCATTGGCAGCGTATCCAAATGCGCCCAATAAAGACGTTATGCGCCCCATCAAAGGCATAATGACCACATATGGTTACAGCCTTCCAGATCCCAGCACACCAAACCGACACTCGGTCTGGTTCACTGGAGGCCGCATTGAACCCAACAACGACAAAACCGATGTTCTTGGATGGAATAATTTCTTTCAGCTCCATCCTCCCAAGCACAGTTTCACTGAAAAAGCGAAATTATTAGCTGTAAAGCTCTTAATGGGTGCAACCATTCCCACCGAAGTCGATCCTGTAGATGGGAGCTTCAATTATGTATTTACACGGCCTTTGGGAGGTCACGGTATGGTATATATTGATGTCATCTATCTTGACGAGAGTTTAAGAATAGTCAGAGGTCAGCGAGGAACGACCTTCGTCTTTTCTCGTGTACCAGATACATCTTGAAACCATGGCGCTCTCCTAGATTGGACTAAAATACATTTGGATCTGGAGTCGGATCTCGGTGAATAAGAACAAGAATGTAACCACTTTGCACATATCCCCGATTGCAGCACTTGTCTTGATTCAAAGAATCCTTTTTCTCTTTCACAAAACACAACACAAACAAAATTACACAAACCGAAACAAAACTACTGGCAAGCATGATACAAGCCATTCTTCAAAATACACTACGAGCAGATTTCTACTTCTTTTCACCATGCACATATCCTGAAATACCGAATTATTCTCTGCCTTATTTTACAAGACGACTGAATGCTTCGCTTACGGTCCAATCCTCGTATCCATTTCCTTGTTTATATCTCCCTTGGATACATATCGGATTGGACCGGGCGAACTCCAAACACATTAAAATTGAATTACTTTGAAATTTTCTTCAACTATATCATATTTTCTATTTTAGTACATTGCAGCCAATCATTATGTATGGTGACTGCTGGCATAAAAAAAATCTTAATATTATATTTAATCTTGTGAAGTAGAAGAGGCACTATGGCCAGAACCAGAACTTCTCCTGACTTGGGAGAAGACTGCTCCTAGCTGCTTTAGGGGCGGCACCTCCCTCCAAGGAACTTTTGAGGAGGCATTACCAGGTTCTACGCATACTGACAAGCCAATTAAGACAGGTCACTGGACTCAAGATGCAGAGAAAGAGTTGGTTCACACTTTGGATGGAGGAGAACCATGCAATTATCATTTCAAAGGGCTCTGTCAAGCCAGAAGGCAAGTCACTCTGCATTGAGCAAGGAAATGAGTGCCAAGCACACTGCCAAGCAAGCCAATTAAGACAAGCACCCTCATAGTTGGTAAGGACACATGTGGTGGAGAAGTCATAGAAAAAGAATAGTTTCAAAAGAAAAAGAAAAGCCAAAAGAAAAAGAAAACTATCACGATTGTTCAACAAACCGACACCTCAACAAACCAAAAGGAGCAGCTGTTTATGAAGCCTCTTCTTAATGAAGAAGAGACCTTGGGATAGGTTGATACTAAGATCTAGAAACTGGGTTAAATACTGGGGGCTAGGGGTGTTGTTGTTGCTGTCTGGCACAAGTATTGGAAACAACAACATCCTGACCACCAGAAACTGATTCTGGTCAAAAGAACTGAGGTAGGGGAAGGATGCTGATCATAGCACCAGCATCAGCTTGGTGGTGGGATTGCTTTAATAGAAGCATATGGAGGCATTGTTGTTGTTGTCCAACACAAATGTTGGAAACAACAACATTATGACTGGAATCTTACTTCTGGTCTGGAAGAACAAAATCAAACAATAACAAAGTACTGGTGGCACTTTATGTTTTGAGAGTAAAAGTCTCTTCACAAGAAATGATGGCACTACTACTACCATGGCATCATAAGTTGTCACTGAAGGATGTCCATGACACTAGCTAGTGAAAATGTTATCATAGTAGCAACTGTCTTGAAAATGTTCAGTAATTCATTTGGTAGATCAGTTTTACTAGCAGGTGACTTGTTAGAGAAGGTGTATTAGAACATAAATTACTACTAGTAGTAGTGACACTATGGTGTTGGACTTGGGGAGTTTTAAACATGGAAGAGAAAGAGTTTCTAGTGTACCACAGGAGTGGATCCTCCATATGTCATATGATGGTATGATGAGGGCTAGTAGCCCAGCTGAATTGTGGAATATAGTATTACGCTATCTTAGGATTTGTTGTTCAACTTTCTTTTTTGTCAGAGTATTGGTTTGATGTCATGCTACTATCCCTGAAATTCAAAAGGCAAGCACACCAGCAGATCAGATCAGATTAGATCAAGTGGAAGTGGATTTCAATGTCCTTGGTGCTCCAAAGCCCCTGAAAGTACTGTTGCATTTGTACAGAAATTACTACCATAACTATATCATCCTCATCTAGTATGTTTGACAGGTGATCTGGGAGGAAGGTACTCTAAAGCATCAAGGAGCTGTTATTAGGAGCAGAGACAGGGATGACAACAAGTATATTATGCCATGGGAGTAGTGGAATTCTGTCACCAGGAGGCAGGCAACATAGTACTGCTGTACAATGATGACATTGATGAGCTTCCTGAAAGACATTGAATGTCAACAAGGAGCAAGGCAACCTGTTTGTGAAGCTGTAATACAAAGACACAGAGGAACTTTCCAGCAATGATGGCTTTCTTTTGTAGAAGTTGCTGGTCAAATTTCTATTGGGGCAAGGGGAACTGATGGATTTTTATCCATATTATTAGTGGTGGATAGGATGTCATTCTTGTTAAGAATGGTGGAGAGGTGAAGGAATAAGAAAGATTTTTGCCTTAGTGAGGAGTTTGAGATTTCTGTGGTGTTACAAAGATCATGCTGCTTTGTTATCAGGCAGAGGAAGCTACTCATCTTGCTGTTTTTCAGAGGAACAAGGTACTCATCTTGCTGTTTTTCAATTGCAGTTGACAGCATCCTGTCACCCTTGTATTTGTTTTTTTAGTCCTACTATGGACAAGACTTGATGAATTGCTTTTGTTTTGATAATCACCACATTGACCTTTATCAATTGCAATTAAGTAGGTTTCCCTCTTCTGTACAGGAGGAGTACACACATGTGTCTACTACATTGTTCACAATGTTGTGTCTTACTAGCAACAGAGGCATCAATTCTTTATCTACTAGTCAAGGATTCATGATTGTGAGGATCAGGATGTTTTGGAATTGATCATGATTAGTATGAATCAAAATTTGTTTGTTTTTCATGATTCATGACTTGTTATTTTGATGTATACAGTTAGTATGTCCACTTGTTGTTGCTCTGTGGTGGGATCAGCTCACCAATGAGGAGGATCTCCAAAGCCGCATAGTTTCCATGCCCTGTACCAAGCACAATTGAATTAAGAAAGAGGTAGACACCTGCTTTCTCTCTACCCCCAAATATGTCTGTCTATGGCTGCCATTCTCTTCCCCACTGATATGGAATCCTCTTACCTTTCAAACAAAACCACCAGCAAAACCAGCATGTCCCAATATCAGAGTTGATGAGAAATTGATTTTCAAGAGCATACACAAGGCTACTTCTACCTCTACCCCCAACAGTACCCATACTATCACTCAACAAATGTCTCCTTTGTTGCTGACTAGTAGTAGTAGTAGTAGTAGTAGTAGTAGTAGTAGTAGTAGTAGTAGTAGTAGTAGTAGTAGTAGTAGTAGTAGTAGTAGTAGTAGTAGTAGTANGTAGTAGTAGTAGTAGTAGTAGTAGTAGTAGTAGTAGTAGTGAACTACCAATGGAGAGTCATGTCACAAAGGATGGGATAGTCTTCAACAAGGTATAATCCAAGAAAAGATGCACAAACAACAAACAAACCAATTTGTACTTGTTCACTGGTGGTCTCTTTTGCTCTTCATCCTGCCAACATCTGTCAACAAACAATCAGTGACTTATCCAATGATTCTTTAAATTTAAAAAAATCTTAATGGATATTATATTTTACCTCGTGAACTAGAAGAGGCACTATATGGCCAGAACCATAGCTTTCGTTAGAAAGAATGCTTCTAGCTGCTCCGAGGGGCGGCACTTCCCTCCGAGGAGTTTTCATGGAAGTGCAACCAGGGTTTTGTTTTGGCTGAGGAATTAATGGACATAATTGTTCATAGTAGTTTGTATGGTACGGGTGGTTGCGGTAGAGACCAAAGAGAGCTTTGGTGATGCAGAGGGTTTGTGTCATTTCTTCTTGGAGTAGGCGTCAAAGATCAGCCCATCTTGTGTGACACTCTCCGGTGGTTGTTTACTATGAGGAGGCAAATGTTGAAAGTACTGAGTAATAGGGCGAGTGTTGGAGACAGAGGCAAGTGTTGCTTTGGTGACACTCGCCAGAATCGTTCTCTCGTAGACTGGAAGGTAATATGTGAGCATGGAAGTAGATGCAGTTGATAAAAAGGTTTCCATATCTTCTGGGAATAGGTGGATGTGGGATGGACATGTCTGTGATTTCAGTTCAAACAGAGTGCGGACTTTTGTCACCACCTGCTGTTGATGCTTTGCTTGTTTCTGGGAAAGCGTGTAGCCATGGAGATCTTTGTTTTGCTGTTCCCATAATGATATGTAGGAGGTAAGAAAGAATTCCACAAGATATCACCCCAACACGAGTGGAGAGTAAATGATTCTTTCAATAATTGTAATACTAGTACTAATAGAGTCCTCCACAGTCCACCCCTAGCACTAGTAGTAGATACCAATGCAGCTGTGCTTGCTCTGGTGGAGGAGTTCCCCAACAAGAGCAGTGACTAGTATTAGTAGTAGAATCAATTTTCATCACCACAGAAGTTATGGTTAGTAATCTGGCTTTCCTCCTCCTACTAGTAGTAGTAGCTACTACCACCAGTATTGTTGCCTCTTGTTCTAGTTCACAAGGTTAAACGTAGTACTAGTAGTAGTACTAATAGTATTTTTTTAGTTTGGGGAAGTCATTGGTGGTGCTGGTTGTAGTATTATGTCATTCTTCAACAATCAGGAGTGCATAGTAGTTCCTCTTTCAACCACCTCTAGGTAGTACTAGGTATTACTAGCTTACTACTACTAGTAGTAACTATTTTGCTCCAGTGGTAGCTGGCTGGTGTTCCTGGTGGTGTGCACCATCAGGTACTAGACAGGTGATGCTGGTGGTGATGAGGATGAGGGGGAGTTTGTTGCTCTTCCATCTCTTTTTTTGTTTTTGTTGCTTGTGGTGGTTTGAAGTTTGTTTGGGTGTGTGGGTTTTGCTAGATCTTTCCTTTATTACTGGAGTGTACTTCTGAAACGCATTGCTGGAAACAAAAAGGACTTTCTCAGGTTGATGATTTATTGCTATTATTTGAGAGGTTGATAGATTGCCATGTGTAATTGGCTATGGTGCACCGGACAATTATCACATAAACTTTTGCACAGAAGCCAGTAGCCTTGACAATTCTCACTGCTCTGGACTGACTGAAGAAACAAAAAGAAACTTGTTTTTTGTGTTGAATCCATGTAAACTTAAGTATCCCATTTTTTGCAAATAAATT